GGCAGCGCAGCCCAGAGAAACCGGCGTGCTCGGACACCGCTGCGGACTTTGGGGCCCGCTGAGCCTTGGGCTGAGTGCACTGGACCCCTGCTCCAACCGGGGGTATTGTCCTGCGGGGGTCGCTGCCCCAAAGGCAGGTGGCGCTTGAGAGCATGGCAGCACCGTGTTGGGTTTTGGGAAAACCGGCTGCTGTTGCATTTTGTATGAAGCCTGATCGGGCAGAGGTGTTCAGAGCCTGCCCCCCACCCCCGGATCAAGCCTCCCCGGCAGGACAGGGAACGAGGAGCACAGCTGCAGATGAGGCAGGAAGCACAGGGCAGGGGGTAGAGAAGCAGATCTGGCAAGGAAGGGGTTCAAGTTAGGGAGGATGCAAGGCGCACCAGCCAAAAAGGCTGACCCCCACTGACTAGGTGATGGGCTTTAAATCCCATTTCAAAGAGAAATGGACGTCTTGCCTCTACTCACTGTGTGAGTGGTGTAACCCCCAGCAACTGGATAAAAAGAGTTGCCTTTTGCAAGAAAGGATGAGCCTGGCTCAGAGAGGGTTTGTGGCAGAACCCAAACCAACAGAGGTGTTTCCCTGTGGCCTGGAGGTGGGAGCCAAATCCCAGATTCACAAAAGGAATTTGTGAAATTTAAATGCCTACATCCAGAATTTGGATCCTGAAAACCTCCGTTCAACTGCTGCTTGAATCTGGATTTGCCCCTGAATAGAGAGGGAAGAGAACCTTCCTGGATCCATCAGCGGCACAGTGGCTGATGCACACCAGAGTTTTGTTTGCCCTTTTGGCAGCCTCATCAACTGTTGGCTCATATTCATTTTCCAGTCAGTCCTGACCCCCAGGTCTCATTCAGATGCTGTGCCAGCCAGTGTACCACCGCCCATTCTATATTTGTGGCTTCATTTCAAATATAGGCTCAATTCTGGAAGGTACTCCATATGAGTAGCTTCTGTGCCCATAGAGATGCAACCAGGGGTCTGTCCAGGTGGAATAATTTGGAGGGTGGAGTCTTAAAATAAAGGGATCCAGTGTTTGTTTAGGATCCATGGGGCTCCAGGTTTAATCAGAAATAATTTGGTGAATATACCACAATTTACATACACTCAAAAGTTATCTTAAGTTCACAGAATAGATCAGGTTCCATTTGTAGCCCACATAACTGTCACAATATCCTCTTTAATTCATTCCTAGAATTTATGTTCACTACAATTAGAGCATGTGGATTATAATAATAATAATATAACTTTGAAGGAAAGGAAAAGGGCAAACCAAATTGATATATCCTTTCTAGAGACAACTATAGCATTGGAATTCTGTTAGAAATTTAGTTATACAATTTAAAAACAAGAATAATTGAACACACATAACGTATAACTCAATTACTCTAAACATTTTGGTCATCTTTTCCATGATAGATACCTAATAATTAACAGTACATAGCATTTTTCCTATTTGAAATGCACTTTGTATATCTAAGAAACAAGTGGCAATAATTCACCAATTATTTTTCTGTGGTGATTATTAAACTATCCGGTGAAGACACCACTTCTGCAACTATATACAAGCTTCCAGCCCATAGGAGTCTGGGAATATTTGTAGTTGAGTTGTGTACCAGTAAAGATAAATTCTGTGTAAACAGATTAAACTGTAACTCCATATAGAAATCTGCCTCTTTGTTACTGTGTGTATAAAGCTACTAATTTACAAAGGGAATACAAGTTTATAGAGTGTAATTAAGCAGAAAGGTAGAAGGGGAGTAGTTATAAGATAATCACACCCCTAGGGCATTATAGAGAAACAAACTGATTGTAAAGCAGACTTCATGGAATAAATGCCATAAGTTCTGCTGCCTTAAGAATGTTAACTCATTTCATCTGCTGAGTCAGGCCTTGTTATATTTGACAGATGAAGACTTGAATCTATTTCATTTTAGCTTTACTTTTAAAATCTCATTATATTTTAATGACAAAAAGTTAGACACTATAATTTTGTTTTGTTTTCTTTATGAAGCTAGCAGGATCTGAGGCAAAGAAGAAAAAGCCCTTCAGTATTTCTTCACTACCATGAAATGTCATTTCTGTGACAATCAAGGTAGAATTCAGAGTTGAATCTGAAAAAATTTTCCACCACTGATGTGTAATTCTCTGTGAATCATATTCAACTACAGTAGATAGCAGCGGGCCTATAATACATGGCAATTTGCCTTGCTAATTTTAGCACTAGCTGGAAAGAAAGCATAAAGCTAGTAGATAAGTACTCTGTGAGTCATGGAAAATGGCTGTTTTTTTTAAGACTCTTTGAGAAAGACTGTTGAGATTACAGGCTGCTGTGAAGCTGGTCTGATCATCTAGTATTTCTTAGGATTTTTCATTTGTCTAGACCCTCTCCCTTAGGTTTTTTTTGCATCAGAGAGAACTACCCCTTTGTTTTTAATTTTGCTGTCACTGAGAAGAATTCTCACAACTTCAGTAGGCCTATGTACTAAATGCTGGGACCTAGTCTGTCCCACGGAAATGATGAATTATGAAATATACTTAAAACTGATGGTATGATATAACTCTACACAAGGTCTAAGGTAGGAGGTCACAGATACAGCCCAGAGGCTGGATCCAGCCCACATAAGCTCCTTGTCTAGGCTCCAGTGCTGCCCCAGGGTCCAGTAGCTAACCCATGTGGTGTGTACCAGACCAGCTTCATATGCAGGGCCTGGGATGCACTCCACATTTGGTGCCTATTTCAGTTGATCCGGGACTGTGTTGCATATGGCACCAACTCTGGCCAGTCCAGGATGTGAATCATGTGCAATGAGTCCCAAACTAGCCAGACCAGGGGTTGGATCCAACGTGGAGGGATGGGGAGAGGGTCTGGGGGTCCCCTGAATGCTAGATCCAGCACTTGCTCTAGCTAGTGTGGGACTATGGCACTCACACTGCACATGGTGCCCATTCCTGACCACCTGGAGTGGGCACCACATTCACTGGATCCAGCATGTGGTGGGAAGTGAGTGGGTGTTTCATGGGCTCAATCTGGCCAGCCCTGCATGGTTCATCCAGCCCATGGCCTAGTCCCATGCCACTCATCCAGCCTGTGGGGCCAGATGAGTTTGACACCCCTGGTGTAAAGGATTTGGGCTCATATTTATCTAAATACATAATTTCTCATTTTGATTTAACTTGGAATGTAGAACAATATCAGATGCCTGTTTCAAGGGGGAAAAAAATCTGCATTTGGGGAAAAAGGTGAATGGTTGCTGAAGTGTGCCTCTCCTGCTCAACTGATGCTTGAAATGGTCATTGTTGTTGTTGCTATTTCCTAGAAGATGAGAACAGTAGGGATGGATGAATCAAGCATGGTGGGTGTGCAGATGCAGATGGTTGTGAAGGCTTATGCGCAATAAATACCTTTGTGACAAAATTTTCAGTGTTGCTTGATATGCGAGTTGGCTTGCTGCTGCTGGTAATATACATTGCCCATTTTTACTCCCCAAGGTCATGCTGTTGCTATTCAAAAGTGTTGGCTTTCCCTCATGTTAGCACTCCATTACTGCCTATTTACAGCCAAGGGATTTCTGTGCTGTGTACCACAGGAAAAATCATTGAGAGAACCCTCCTGATCCATCTCCTTTGACTTGCTAGAGAGCTCCTGGAATCTCAGTGTGGATTGAGGGCATCAAGAGGCACAACTGACACGATTTTCACTGCTCACCAGCTGTAGGAGACATGCTGGGAACAACATAAGCCTCCTTACAGGGCCTTCATGGACCTCACAAAAGCTTTTGACTCCATCAGCTGAGAAGTGTTGAGTGGAGGATCCTTCTGAAGTACAGATGCCCACCAAAACTTGTCACCATTTTCTGCCTGCTCCATGACGATATGTGAGCAGTGGTTCTCAGTAATGGATCTATCACAGGTTCCTTTGAGGTTAAAATGGGAGTTAAGTGAGGCTGAGTCATTGCTCCAGCACTCCTCTCAGTATTTCTTGTCGCAATGCTACATCTGACCACCAACAAGCTTTCAGCCAGAATGGAGCTAAACTACTGAATGAGTGGTTTAACCTTGGGTGACTCCAAGTCAAAACCAAGGCCGCCCTGACCTCAATCGTTTAGTTCTAGTATGCTGATGAAGCTATAGTGTGCGCTTACTTGGAAGCAGGCCTTCAGGCAGTCTTCAACATCTTTACCGAAGCATACAAGAAAACGGGACGGTTGCTTAACATTCAGAAAACTAAGGTCTTTCACCAACAAGCTCCTAATGAACACTCCCCATCTCCAGTAATCCACATCCATAGTGAGACTCTGGAAAACACTGAGTAGTTCCCATACCTTGGAAGCCATCTCCCATAGAAGACTGACATCAACAAAGAAATCCAACATTGCCTCAAATGTGCAAGAGCAGCTTTTAGATGTCTGAAGAAATGGGTCTTCAAAAATTGGGACATCATATTCAAAAACAAGCTCATGGTTTATCAAGCAGTTGTGATCCCCACCTTGCTGTATGGATCTGAGACATGGACAACTTACAGGAGACATCTAGGGCACATCCGCACATGCAGGCATGTGCACTCTGTGGCAGGCCAGTAGGGGGTGCTCCTGCGTTGAGCCACCCACCTCACTGCACCCGACCACCTTCCAGGTTCTGAGTGCTTCCCTGGGGGTGCCTCACATCTGGCTGACTCCCTTCCTGGAGCACACCTGCTAGCCTGGGGTAAAAACTGCCACTACCCAGGGCTGGGCTTGATTCTGGCTCTGCGTCCCCTGGGTAACACAGGCCTAGTAGCCCTTGAGGGTACCGGACTCACTTCAAGCACTTGGAGGTGCTTCCCTCAGTCAGAAGCACAAGTTGTGGTCTCCCTTAGTCAGCCAAAACAAGGGACCCCAAGGCTTAATCTAGACCCACACCCAATAAGTCTTCCACACTAGGTACAGAGGAGAACTTTATTGGTTACAAGGGGTAGGGTTGGAATAGGGTACAGCAATATCAGAGAAATCCCATAAAGCAAACTGGCATGGCTGGGTAGCCTTTGATCACGCATCTGAGTTACTGCAAGTTATATATCTAATTAAAGCTCAGGTAGCTTACTCACAAGTATCATCCAAAGGCAGGTGGAGGTTCCCTCTGGAGGCAGGCAGTTCCTTGATCATGAGTTTTGAAAAAGAGAGCAAGTGTTAGATGGTCCAGCTCTTCTCTTTCTCCAAGTCTTCCTCATGGCTGCTACCCCTGCCTCCTGGGCAGTCGTTAACTTATATAACCCTTATGACCTCATTTACCTGGCCCATTGGAGGTCAGCACCTGTTGGCTGTCAGCCAACCCATTTGAAATGCATCACTAGTTGCTGGGCACACTGGCAGTTCCTAGCTCCCCAGGGAGCCCAAGCCCCTCACCCAGGTATGTGATGCCAGTCATGTAGGCAGAGGGAGCAGGTTTCCCCCCTTCCTCAGGAATGTATCCAGCTCAGGTTAC